CGAGAGGCGGCAGCAGAGACCGGCCGACCCGGAGGCGCCGGAGAGGGTGGGGAGTCACCGGGGTGGTGTGCCTGTTGCTGCGCTCCCTGACACCCGCACACGCACACACACACACACACACACACACACACAAACACACGCCACGGGCGACACCAGAGTGTGGCGGTCCCGTTGTGTCCCAGCTCACCCACCCTAAACAGGGGATACGAATGGCAGCTCCCTAATTTCGTGGAGGGGGGCCAGGGAATGGAGCCAGCGATATCCGAAAAACAGGCTCTGGCATCACATTTATTTGTGCAAATAAAAGTCACCAAAAAGGTGAATTTTTTTTAAGCATGCCATTCCCTCCCCATCTCAAATGTCTGTTGAGTCCCAGCTTCCTCCGACTCTCTCTAGTTTGTCATTCACCCGCTCCTGACTTCTTCTCCACTACGGGCTCCAAGGCCCTCTATTCATTCTTCTAATGAAAACTTATTTTCATGTCTTCCCTGCCCATTTTCCCAAGCAGTCACCCTTCTCCCTCCGTATTCCATCTCTCCCCAGTGGTGTTTTTCTCCCTGCCCTCTCTGTGCTCTTCCCGTGGCTCAGTGATTCACAGCGGCAGGCTTCAGCCAGATTTAATTTTATTCTGGCTCTTGCTTTTCCAGTATCTTCCTCCTCATCGTCAGTGTTCAACCCTAAACTGCAGTCCCACCCACTCTCCAGATACTCACCTTGCCCCTTAGTAGCCTGCTCCTCTCCCGTGGCCCTTTAAATCAGGACAGGCTCCTGCGCCTGCCTGGGAGAAGAGGCACTGGCAAGGCAGGGCACAAGATTCCTGTTCCAGTTTCTCAGCGAAGAAGAAATGGTCCTGGAGTGAAAGTCCAGCACGAGCTCTGGAAGAACCATCTGGGGTCTTGTGCAGCTGTGGTCTGTGGGAAAGTTGCGTGAGCTGCTTGAACACAGTCAATAAAAAAGAATTTGCAAAAGCTTCAGCAGCTACTTTCCCTTATTGCTGCACTGAGTTCATGTGAACTTCAAGTTTCACACTAATACCTATGTAATGTCATGAAACCATGGTATATCTTCAGGGCAGTAAAGAAAGATTTTTGGTTACGCTCCCTCCTCCCAAGAATAGCGCTGGCCTGATTATTAAAAAAATAACAATACTGAAAAATAATGATACTCATCATGATCTAAGTCTCAAAACCAGCTACTATGCCCTGACCCAAAGTGGCTATCTAGCATTTAATCTAAACAGGTCAAATATAGCAACATTTCAAGCAACTGAAAACAGAATCTCACAGTGGAAACTGTTAGCAATCTCAGGAGCAGATGCTGCTTCTGAAACCCTTCTTGGACAACAGTAGATGACAGAATTAAACAAGTCTAAAAGTTCATGTAAACTCTCTTTCACTACACACATAGCTAACTCACCACAAGTGTATTTAAATACTACAGAATTTTTTTAAATTTATTTTACAAATAGTGGACATTTCAAGGAAGTTACTCTGTGCCGAAAAGGAGTGTTTCACGGGTTTGTTTCCTGAGCTATTCCAGAACACAAAGGACCTAGACCAGAAGTTTGTCCAAACCAGCATACAGCCTCTAACTCTCCCTTTTTCTGCAATCTTAGGTCAGTTGTGGATGGACTGCTGGAGGTCTACAGGAGGAGACCACTTGAGTGAGACTGTGGTCCAAAGCCATTTTTGCTACTGCAAGTGTGGCCTCCAAAACCAGATGGAGCACAGCACCTTGCCTTTTCAAAAGCAGAAGGAGTCTGCATCTGCCAGGAGACAGAGGTCTACCTTGGCAGGAGATGTACTGGCACATGTGGAACGCTAAGCCCAACGTTGTGAGCCCTCGTGGCAAGTGCGACAGAGTACCAGTGGCTAACAGTAGCGTGGTTGGTGCCGGGTTACAGTCTGACCTTCAAAGTAAGGCCATGGCCCGCAGAATCTAAGTAATCCTCCAGATGATATAAATTTTTATAGAAAGAGGATGGCGGGGGGGGGGAAGCCAGATGTGGAGGTTTAAGGAAGGAAGTAAGCATATGGTGATCTTTCCCTGGTACATACTCCCATTTTTTGCTATCTAATGCTTAGAGATTTACCAAGCCAGAAGTTGTATCTGTATCTCACTGTTTACGTGTTCTCAATGCGTCTTTTTTACTTAAATGTTCTCATCACTTTTTAACTCGTTCATGGACTTTTAATAAAATGATAACAATGATCACTGTCAGAAAACAGCGTAGCTGAGCAGGATAGAGACTTTAAGAGGTTATAGCCCCAGAAGTGTTAAATTTGTGGGGTAATTTAATTGCATCAAACATAGGAGGAAGCTTGATTATGGAGTGGATTCGTTCAGTGGTGATGCCAAGAGGCCTCTCTCTCCAATCTGGCTCTCCGTTTTCACGAAAATTCCACAAACATAGAAGTTTGACATGCCCATTCCTTGTCAAACATGACTGGGGGAAGGACAGAGAGTCAGCATGCTCACACAGGCCTCATTTACTTAGGAAACTGGACTAAACACCATAAACACCCAGTTAAACATGGAAATGACAGATGGGTATTCAGTCAGCCCTTGGACTTTGCAAAAAGTTTGTCAAACAGAGACCAGTGAGGGTGAACAAATACAGTAACCTATTTATAAAGTCTAACCTGACAGAGTCAGCTCTTCAGGAGGTTTTTTAAACCCCTGTTGACCATCTTGGCCTGCTATTCCGCACCTTATACTCCCTTCAAGGGACTTGTGGAGGTCAAGGCCAAGATGTCCCCTTCTTCATGCACTTCCTTGCTGCACTGATTACTCATCATTTTCATTTTTCTCACCTTCTGTGAGCCTCGGGGCATTGTTCAGGCATCTTCTGAACATCTGCAAGGCTAAAGATTCCCCAGCCTCTCTAAGCGCCTGTTCTCATGGTCAACTACCTTTCAGTCCAAGTGAAATTGCCTTTGCGGCAGCTTGAGACCATTGCTTCTCACTGCTTTGCTGTGGACCTCTGAAGTGACTCTGGCGCAGTTCTTCCTTCACCCCACGTTAAGCCACACATGATGTCAGCTGCAGTTGTTTTTCTGAACTTTGTGAGGTTTCTGTCAAACCATTCCTTCATTCTTTTAATTCCTTATCTATTCTACTCTCTGCACTCTCTCCATCTTCTGCTGCACTGCCCAATGTGCAGGGAAAATTGCTCTTTCAAGGCTATTTCCTCTTCCTTTGCTGGATCTGTGCCTTTGCCACTATGAGGCAGGGAAAGGACATCAGGAGAAAAAATACATCGTTACAAGTGAAACCCATGTCCACCAAGGCCAGTGCCCAGCAGGTGACCCCACCACACAGCCACACCATAACCTCATGGTCAGAGCTGCACCGAAGGCAGAGTAATCCTATGCGCCAGCACGGGCTGGGAGACAACAGGCTAAAGAGCAGCTCTGCAGAAAAGATCCTGCAGATCCTGGCACACCAGCCCACGGTGCACCCTTGTAGCACTGAAAGCTGACAGCACACTGGGTTGTACGAATGACAGCAAAGTCAACAGGTGGAGAGGAGTGATTATTTCCTTCTGCAGAGCACTGATAAAGTTGCATTTGGTACGCTGTGTCTGTGATGGGCTCCCCAGCGCAAGAGAGGTGTGAACAAACTGGAAAGGGCCCAGTGGAGGACCACAGTGGACAGGGGACTGGAGCATCAATACTGAGGAACCTGGATTTGTTTAGTATGGAAAAGAGAAGGGCAAGGCAGGGGGGGCAAGGTTTTTAGCCTGGTCTCCTAAGTAAACGAGGTCTATGTGTCAGACTTGACAAGGAATAGGATCTAATAGGTGCCTAAAGGGTATGGAGCCAGATCCTTCCCAAGACAAGAGGCAATGGGCATAACTTGCAACAGACGCAATTCAGTGTATTATCAGGACAAAAATACTTCCCCCAAAGCATGATTCAGCACTGGCCTAGGTGTCCAGTGAGGCTGGGAGCTCTCCACCCTTGAAAATGTATAGAAATTGCCCAGGCAATGCCCTGAGCAACTTGTTCCAGCTTTGGAGTCCTGCATGTGAGCAGGGGTTTGGACCAGAGCCCTCCAGAGGCCTCTTTTCATATAAACCTTTGTGTGAGTCTGTGTTTGCCCCTCCAACTAAGTCAGAGCAATACTGCCCCCGTGAATGACAGAGCTTGTGGTAACACAAGCAAAAGGAAGAGGATCACGCCCATTGCACCTGAAGGTTTTGCCAGGAAGAACTTAGGGTGTCCTCATGGACATCTGCATCAAGGGACACATCTTGAAGAAGGTCCTCCAACACGAGTTACACAGAGGCTGTGTAGGCAGAGCTGCCCAGTGACTATAAAGAGTTGGGAGCCAGTGGGACAGGTGCTGCTGTAATGCCTCGGAAGGGAAGTGGGTCCCTCTGGGCCACAAGAGCCAAACAGCCACTGTCTGTCCTCCAGCAGCCACCGGGGTGGCAGGACCCGGCAGCACTAGGGAGGCTCAGTAGCGTGCCTTGTCCCCAGCCAGCAGAGCAGTGCCCCACGCCGAGGGTGAGGGCAAGGCCCAGGCTAAGACCCGGGCCCGGGCCCAGACCCAGACCCAGACCTAGGCCCTGCCCCGCTCACACGACCGTTGGTCCCGCGCCGCCCTTCCCGCGTGCCTCGTGCCCGCGAATAACCCCTGCCCCGCCCCGTCCCCTACCCCTCCCT